CACTCCCGTACCCGTAGACCCTGTTTCCACCACCACCCCGTAGCCTCCGCGCTGTCCGGCAGGCCATTTATTTCAAACATTCTAGGGTGGGAGATAGGCCTGGGCCCCCTACCACTTCTGCAATGGTACTCAGTGGAGGAGGCACCAGGTTGCTCCCCCAGTCCCCTCATGCATACACAGTCACTCACTCATCCAAACCCCACGAGTCAATTAAAAATTATAAAATACAATGACAATAAAGGATAAAAGTGGGCACAAGCATCACATATACATCACATACATATCACATACATATCCCATACGAAAGAAAGAAAAAAGGGAGAAAAAGAAAAAGGGAGAAAAAAGGAAAAATTGCGCAGCTGTTAAAAAATGTGCAAGTTCAAGTAGTGCAAATAGCTCTTAACGTTCAAGATGGTTAAAGTGACTGAAACCCAGCAATATAGATAGTCCTTGAATTGCAATAACAGTTGGGACTGGGATTGCCATAGTTGCAGTGGGAGTGATGTAGTCGTAAAGCACAATATCATGTGATTGCATCCTTAATGACAGCAATCCTGGCACTCCCAGTTGCTGTGATAACCCCAGATTGTACAGGTTGTTAAGCGGGAAAAAGCAGTGGGAGGGTGCAAGTGCCATGGGAGAGGTGGAAATGCTGCAGGCAGGCACTAGAGACTATGGGCAGGTCAGCAGAAGCTGGCAGAGGACTGGCAGAGGCCTCAGGTGGCTCAGCAGAGCTGCTGGGGGTGACCTCAGGTGCATCCGTGAAGTGCTCAGGAGGGCAAGGTGGTGCTGCAGCACATTTACACAGTGGGAGCAACTTTCTAGGGCAACTTACAACCTTCCCTGCTGACTTCCCCATTGATTTTGCTTGTGAGAAGCCAGGGAAGATTGCAAATGGTAATCACATGATGTGCCTCACTGCAGTGTAATTGTGAGCCAGGCATCCGAGTGTGCAATCACATGACTGCAATGGCTGGAATTTCAAGGAATAGCCATAAATCCGCTTTTTTACTACTGCTGGAACTTTGACCTGTCAGTAACTGAATAGACTAAGTCGAGGACTATCTGTAATCTTTTAGTGCTTGCAATTAATTCTAGTCATTTAAAAACTATGTAGTAATAAGAAATACTTGAGAGTCCAAAATTATTGAATCGAAATAGTGCAGATGGACTCAAGCTTTGAAATTCTTTGGTTTATATTATGTTAGTAAATATTAAAGCAATGCCTCTTCAATTGTTTTACACTTTGTTTTTTAAATAACATACCCAGTTTTCTAGGAAAATTCAAATACAAAGATGTATCCCGGTACTATAAGTGTACTTGCTTGCTCATATCAAAATAAAATTGTATAGAATTGTGACTAAAATACGGGTATTCTGCTAAATGTGTAGGATTCCCAGTGAGGGCATAAAACAGATGGATCATCAGGCGGAGGGGCATTTACCTTATTTGGACCAGCAAAACTAAATAACATAAGTGAAAAGGTCTGGAAAGCAACAGAGGTTAACAGTATCAAATAACATATTGTACAGATGTTTCCTTTTGTAGCATTAACGTGTAATTAAAAATAATAATAAACTACCTTTCCATATAATATATAATAAATCAAAACACTTTCTTCTGAATCTGAATTTCATGTTCTTGAGGTAGGGTAGGGTAGGCAGTTTTCAGGCTGCCCCATTCCCCTGTGCGCTGCTTGGAGAATCCAAGCATGGGTTAACTTCTGTCTATCTGCCCAGAGACTAAGTTTGAAAAGCTTTGTCCACGCCTCAACTGCTTCCAGTTTCTCAACTCAGTCAGAGCCCAAAGAGACATGACTAAATTTTCTCTTGGTAAGCTGTGCAGAATCACAGAAATTCTTCACATTTGGATTCTTCAACAGCGCTTTTGAGAAGCTCAGGTAACAGGTGATTCGGAGGACTTTTAGCTGCCTTGCGGCTTGGTATCAAAATAAATTTTCCAGTACCAGACCTGCCATCTTTTTTTCTGCTCCTGCAAAATATACTCACTCTCCTGAGGAGAGTGAAAAAGTCAACTGATAGAAATACTTGATGCCTTTCCTTACTCTTCTCATATAGTGCAAGTCCAGACTTCTTTAGACTGTAGATTTATTAGTAAGGAATTAATGCAAAAAGTTTCTACAAACTATCTGCCCTTTCTTTATCTCTTGATTCTTTTGCTCTGATACCCATCTGACAGCACATAGCTGCCATAAGGATTACAATCTAATCTAACTCAACTGAAACAAGATTCAAGAATGAAGAAATTAAATTGAATGTTCAACTCACTGGCTTGCTTGTGGAAAGTAAAAGGCAAATGGAAATACACCAAGTATGGGGGTTGGAGAAGAAGCCTTGATTGCTGAATAATGAATGGATACCGTAATTTATTAACATCTACCAGCTTTTTTATGAATATATTTGAATGCAAACTTAAAACAAGAAGGGAGAATGATTTGGTATGAATCTGTTGTGGCGCTCAGTTGAGCTGTTGAGATAGAACTCAGTCCAGTCTCTTTCTCTCTACAGATACCTGAAGGAATTCCGCACAGAGCAGTGTCCCCTGTTTGTGCAGCACAAATGTACTCAGCACAGGCCCTACACATGCTTCCACTGGCACTTTGTTAACCAGCGTCGTCGCCGATCTATCCGCCGTCGGGATGGCACCTTTAACTATAGCCCTGACATTTACTGCACCAAATACGATGAGACCACAGGGATCTGCCCTGAAGGAGATGAGTAAGTTACAAGGTTGCATTTTACTTGATCTGACAGAACGTCCAGTCTGTATTAACAGGTAAATTCATCAATTCAGCTTTTAAAATCTTGCAGAAGAGTGTATCAAGAATGTGGAAAAACTGCAGTGGAAACTTGAAGAAAATGTTTATTATGATTGCACTACTTTTGTATATATTCCTCCGAAAGTAAAGGCTGCGTTTCAAAGTTTTGTGCTTTGGAATAATTCTAGAAAAATTTGTGAGATTTGTCATAAAATAATTGCTTAGAGGGTTGAATCCTTATATAAATGCTTAATTTACAAATGGAATTATTTTCAGAAGGGAAAAATGCTGGATTTTTCAAACCTGATGACTGGTTTTTTTGGCTGGAAACCATGTTTGAGATTTTATGTTTCTATGAGCTCTTTCTTTTTCTCCCTCCTTCGTAGGTGTCCATTCCTGCATAGAACTACCGGTGATACAGAACGGAGATACCATTTGCGCTACTACAAAACTGGAATTTGCATCCATGAGACTGATTCAAAAGGAAATTGCACCAAGAATGGCCTTCATTGTGCTTTTGCTCATGGACCACATGACCTACGTTCTCCAGTTTATGATATTAGGTTGGTAGGGAATAACTTCTGTGATATTTACTTGCTGTCTAAATGGAAATCCAGGAATATAAAATGGAGGTAAGAGCAACTGCAGGAAAGGGGAATGGAGGGCAGAGGAACCCTCTCTCTCTAGATTTTTTTCCCTTTCCAACAAGTCTTTACATCAGCTGAAAGAGACAGACTGTCACCAGTTTTTCTTGGATACCGGAGAGGAGAAAAACTAAGCAGTAGAGGTTACTAGTAGGAATAGCAACTTCATGGAATATTTTCCTACCTGAGCCTAAAAGAGAAAAACAATTTTGATTGCTTGGCCTATTTCGTTTTATCTTACCAGCCAAAATTCAAAATGGCCATGGAGCTATAGAGCCCTAAGACATGAATAGGAAAGTGAACTGTGTTTTCCATTGGAAAACATCACTTTTTCCTCAGAACAACAGGCTGGCACTGAGATGGAGGCTCCACGGTAATAATATATACTCAACAAACAGCACACCATTTTGGTGCTAGGTGGAGGCAGATGTGTGAATGAAGCCAAATTACCACCCAACCTCTGTGAATGCAGTTAGAGGTGCATGTGTAACCCTTTTTCATTCTCTTCATCCAACTGCTTCTTCTGTGATGCAGCCAACAGACATCTGGGGTCCGAGAGAGAGGAGATGCCCAAGGGGAGAGAATAAAATCAGGGGAAACAGTTAAGAGCTATAAGCTCTGCAAATCACCCTTTTCCAGTGCAATTTTGGTGATGATGTTTTTTTCCCTAGGCTGCCTTTTACCTCAGCTTTTAGTAGGGATCTGAATATTATTAGAAATGTTTTTTTTTTCAAAAAGACAATAGACTGATGTTTTTCTTTGAATATCTGTACCTGCATAATTACTCATTTGTCTATGTTCCCTAAGGGAGCTTCAGGCCATGGAAGCTTTGCAGAATGGTCAGACTACATCAGAAAGTGGCATAGAATGTCAGTCTGCAGTTGCTGCTAGCCATGCTATGATAGAAAAAATACTCAGTGAAGAGCCAAGATGGCAAGGTAGGTTCCTTGGAGTTTTACACAGTACTGAATCCAATTATTCTTGAATTAAAAAAAACATCTTTGTATAGGGGTAAATATGCTTAGGATTTTAATTGACTAATTATACTTATCTTCACAGACACAACTTATGTTTTGGGAAACTACAAAACAGAACAGTGTAAGAAGCCCCCACGCCTCTGTCGCCAAGGTTATGCCTGTCCTTATTATCATAATAGCAAAGATAGAAGAAGGAGTCCTAGAAAACACAAATACAGGTACTTCAAAGCCTGGTTATAAAGGGCCAAGAATTTACATTTTCTTTATTTGGTTAGTAACTTTACTCTAATCTCAGTGTAATAAATACATCAATCATGGTGGGAAGATTGCATTTCACATTAAGTAGTTAATTCATGGATCAGGATTACATCTGTGTAGGATGCTGCCATAAGTAAGGATTAAGCACATGTGCTTTAAGCCTGCTGCACTCTAACATTATGTCAAGATAAAAAAGAAAATAATCCTTGTGCAAAACAAGATTGCATGTGAGCAGGTGGCTTTCTTTGTTATGAGGGTATTGCCCCATTGTAGTTAAATTCTAAGAATTAATCAGGGAATACTTACTAAGATGCAACTGTTCTGTTATGATGTTCAGAGTATTGTTTCCTCATGAAAACTGGAATGAACATCAAACCTTATGGCCTCAAAGTGAAGACTTTGAGATAGCACCTTTCTGAGACGTGTATTTCAAGAGAAAGCTTTGTATCTCTTAATCATATGCCTATTAGCAGTTATTTATCTCCTTTGCTTATGTTCCTGCTGCCTTTTCCTTTCCTTTTCTAAACATTAAGCACCATTTTGGAGAATATTTCAGGGCTCAGCTATAACCCAACTACATATTTATAATTACTCATTCTTGGACAATTTGAATTAAATAGAAGTGATTTGTATTAGCATTGTTTGATTAAATGCAGTTTGTACTTTTTGAGCAATACTAGCAAACAGTAAAGGTACTCAGTGCCAGAAATTAATCTATATAAATATTGTAGATACAGTTTCTGTTTGGCTCAAAAATTATATGACTTTCTAATTCACTCTTTTTCTGCCTATTGCTAAAGATCCTCCCCATGTCCTAGTGTGAAACATGGAGATGAATGGGGAGATCCTAGTAAGTGTGACAATGGAGATGCATGCCAGTACTGTCACACCCGTACAGAGCAACAGTTTCACCCAGAGGTAAAGACTTCCTTGTTGGTCATTTACATAGATAAATGCACACATTGCACAATTTACAGGATATGATAAACTATACATTACCCATGCTAATTACTGTTTTGATTGTCTCAGAGGATGATTTACACCAGAAACTAGTTAAAGGAATACATTGGTTTGTCTTCTTTTCAAGTCTCTGCTATGCATGCGTAGGGAGCAGGGCACATACCGGAGACACACATGTGTGCACGGGGGAGGGGGAGCGCGGGTATGGCATTCCCACACACACACAGAGCCCGTTTTTGGTCCCAGGAAGCTGCAGGGAGGCCTGCTAGGCCCAAAACGAGGTGCAGGGGGTCATGCATATGCATGGGGGGAGTGCAGGAGGGGTTGCATGCGCATGTGTAGGGGGACATGGTGCGTGTTGCATTATGGGTGTGTGCATGTGTGCACATACACGCTTTCAGCACGCAACAACAAAAAGGTTAGCCATCACTGTTCTAGGATGTGGACCTATAGTGTCCCCTAGGGCTTAGCTTGTCCTCCTGTGCTGTTTAAAGCTACATGAAACTTCAGAAGGAACACATTCAGAGCTGTGGAGCAGAAATATGTTGATGACAACCTGCTCAATTGCTCCCTGACTTCTAATTCCAAACTCTTTGATGTTTGCTCATTGTGATAATAGACTGGATGGCAGAGAACAAGCTGAAGTTAAATCCAGAAGATAGAGGTGCTCTTAATAAGGAAACTCTTTGGTTAAGGAGAAAGCTAGACTCTGAGACTGAGGTGAAGCCTGTTCTGTAGCCTCATGAAGATATCGAGGCTTTATAGTCAGCGAAAAGCTTTCTTGTGTGTGCTTCCCAGGCTATGGAATGAGCCCTCTAAAATGAGCTGGGTTTTAATTTTAATTTTGTTATGTTTTACATATGCATTTTTTATTGTTTGTTTGGAAATATAATGTATAGATTCAATAATATATAAAGTAAGAGTTCAGTGCATCCTGTTTATAAGTCTTTCGGTTGTTTAGAGATTGCAAAATTGCTTAGAAACTCACTAAAAAGATTTAAGATTGGGCTCCCTGGCAAGGGTGCTTCTGAAATATACTACACAGTTCCAAGTTAAGGAGGACAAAGCAGATTGAAGCAAAGTTTGATTGATGGGAAAACAGCTTTCCAAAGGCCACAAAATCCCAGAAATTTAAAACGAAGTTTAGAATGTGAAAGGTCTCATAAGGAATCAAAAAACAATCAGCTCAACTGTCCCGGAAAGAAGATGGCATGTGATTATAGTGACATGTAGGAATTGTGCCAAAGCCATATGTGGAAGTGCCAGGAAGGTGTGGCTAGCAATTGCTGGGGCAGTACATCTAGGTTGATTTCCATGTAATTGAAAAGTTTTCTTCTGAATTACTTCTCTTGCTGAAAATGCTTTGACTAAACTGAAATAGGGTTCCTGGGTAGCTCCATTTGATGGGACAATCTTTGAATAAATTGCAAAGATAATTGACACTACAGTTCTGTATGCATGTTTAAGGATAAGCCCTTAGAGATTCTGTGTAAATAAGCATACATTATGCTGTAATTCTGCCCATATGTATATGTGTGCATCACTGGAAATAGTTCTTTAAAGACCTAAGATACAATTCTATAGATATTTAGTCCAAGCATGGGTTGGACTATCAGGATTATATGCAGCCCTTGGTCAACCGGAGTCCTCCAAATTTTATTTTTAGAATGATTTTTTTTTTTTTTTGCCTTCAAGTTAGTCTTTGTTTCTTGGAGACAGCCGGGATAAATCCTTGCAATTTTCCTAGCAAGATGTTTAGAAGTGGTTTGCCATTGCCAGCTTCTTAGAGTTGAGGGAGAGTGACTGGTCCATGATCACTCAATTATTTTCTTACCTAAGGGTGGACTAGAACTCATAATCACTCAGTTTCTAGCCTGGTACCTTAGACCATCCCGCCACCACTGGCTCTCTTTTTTGGAATTACAGGCAGGAAAAATTATTGGAGTCATATATTATCCATATCTAGCTGGTTGAGTTAATTAAATTATACGAAACTAAAATTA